TAACATATTATACATTTCTAGAAGAGTTTAATGTGCATATCTGTATTTAATGAAATAGGCAAATTTTCAAAAACAAAGAAAAACAAAAAGAATCAAAGATTTAACATTGTGGACTCAATTAACTCATTCTATTTTATTTTAAAGAACAAAATACATATAATCACCCTGTATAGGTCCTTAAAATCAATTAATAAAATTCAATATTTTAAAAATAAATGAACATAAACATTTAGGAAGTTAGGAATACAAAGATACTTATTTAGCTGGATAAAATGTTTCTATCAGGAAACATTATAATTAATGGTCTTTCTCTCTTTCCCTCTCTCTCACTTATACATTTACTTATACATACACACACACTCAGTAGTAGAAACATTCCTGCTTAATCTTTAAACTAATTTTGATTAGCTGATTCTACAGTTCATGTGGGAGAATAAATGCATATAAAGAGCCAAAATAATTTTACAAAAGAAGAAAAATCAGAGGAAAATTATCCTACAAGTAATCAAAATACAAAATAATCGCATGTAGTTTAAACAGGGTGATGCTGGCATGGGACAGACGAATATAACAACAGAATAGCATGTCTAGAAACACACCCATGTGTGTATGTATGGGAACTTGGTATTCAATGCCACTGCATTTCATGTAAATAGGAAAATAATGGAAGAGTCAACAAATGTTTTTAATAATTTGCCTACTTATGTAGAGAAAAATTCTCCCACCTCAAACCCTGTGAATAAAAATATAGCTTAGGTTGCTAAACATTCTTTAAAAGTCTCTAAACATATCAGAAGAAAATACATGAGATAAACATAAAACTCAAATATCATGAAGGAAGAAAAGATGAAAATATGTGACTGTAAGACTAAAACCATTTTTGATGGCAAATAATTTCACAATTAAACTAAAAAGACAACCAGATTGTAAAAAAATATTTTCAACACGTGTAACAAACCATATCCTAAAAGAGAAAGAGCAAAAGAATTAACGAATGACAACACCGGCAAAGGAAATAAATAACAAATCACAACATAAGAAATAGAAATGGATCAAAAAACTCTGCCAAAACAAAAGAAACAAAACTTCTTAATGAAGTCCAAGTTCCATCAAAATAGTAAGAGAAAGTAATCGGTAAATCAAGATTCCTTCCTCTAACAATGTGCAATTGTTATAAAGAAACAACATGTGACATAGACGCATACGTAAATGGAAGCATACAGGCGGATCCTTTCTAGAAGAATACACACAGCAAACTCTTTTAAAACCATATTTGTGTCTGTGAAAGGTAAAAGAGATGAGGATGAGACTTAATTTTTCATAATAAGATTGTTTGTCTTTAGAGACATGACTGAAAATAGGTCAATGTAAAACCTTTAAAATACTTTGAATGAGCGGAAAAACAACTTACTAGCTTGCAAGTTAAACAACTTGCTCAGACTCAGTAGCAAAAATAAAGCAAAAACAAAGGCACTTGTGGGGCCCATTAGCCTTTGAAGATTCCTACAGACTTCATAAAAAAGGAAGGGTCAATATAAATTAATTACACAGTAAATAGGAGGCTTTATCTTGTTTATTTTGAACCGTAGGAAACTTGTTTTTCCAGGTCAAGAATAGTCAAATCACACTGACTTGGTATTCAACCTAAACACTTTAGGATATTTTAAAGCTTTTTGAAGAATGGGTCTTGATCCTGCTGAGTATTATTCCTAGAAACATAGTCACCAAACCTTTCAGTAAAACATTAATTTCTTACATTGGTCCAGCGTTATATATGGAAAACTAAACTATGCAGTATTCTGTTTCCCTGATCAAACAGAAGAACACTTTCAACCATTTGCTCTTGGGGTATCACCGAGTTAGTTCAATGAGAAATTTAGCACCTTTATTAAGTTCACTTCATTGTCCTGGGAAGAAGGGATCAAAATGGTCCTAGAGTGCTATCCCCTTCTGCAAGACTTTCAGCTTTAAACTGGCACTTTCTGGAAGTGGCCAAACTTTGATGATGACTCTAAAAATGATTTTACAGCATGCTATTGAGTTCATCTGCTGTTTAGTACATTTTAGCATTTTCAGTTTGGTACTTGGGTCCTGAAAAAAACAGCACATGACTGTTTTGAACAAACATGACTATTATTGTTGTCATTTATGGTATATGTATAAAAGGAGCAATGGATTACTGCTAACTACACATATTTTACAAAGACTTTCAATTTAAAGGAGAAAACTTCTCGAAAATGAAGTTTTTAGTAACAAACAATATAAGCAAAAATACTGTTTCTGGACAAGCCTCAGGTTTTATTTTTTTTAATTTGAGAATATTCTTTTCTTTCTTAAATTAAATAGATGCTGTTATTTTTTTTCTTTTTCAGAGATTTTTTTATAATCATAATACTGGCTGCATTTTTTTTTAATCAACTGAGGAAAACAGTAATGTATTTCTCCCCTCAAAAACAGGAGAAGTTTTGATCCATTCATCTTCTTTATCGAGAAATTGGGAAGACATAGTGGAAAATATTTATCAAGCACTCTATAAAAATGAACTGCTCCTTAAATTATTAGCAATAACCTATGTCACTGCCACACACGATTCCTCTGGTTTGTCAAAGTTTCAAGCATGAGAAAATACCTTTGTGACCAGTGCTCAAGACAGCTTCCTTGTTAGGGTTTCTATCTCTCACTATAGGTGATTAGAACAAACACATTCCGGTAATTTAGGTAATTTATACAAAACAGAATCAATTTCTCTTGTTTCCTCATGATTGAGCACTTTCCTGAACTCTTATAAATGACTAACGGATAAGCACTATTTATCAGACTGTTGGGTAGCACATGTAGTTTTGATTATTCTATTTTCTTGTTGCTACTAATGAAATACATAATATACTTTGAGGAAAAAAACAATTGTAGCACTCGGCCTCTGAACTTTAGGGAAGCAGTGCATAAGAGACTTTCTTTTGTACCCACTCTTCTCTGATCGCTCTATGGATCACTTTAGGGAAGCAGTGCATAAGAGACTTTCTTTTGTACACACTCTTCTCTGATCACTCTATGGGCCATGGAAGGTGGCGATGTTCTTGGGCATCCAAGATGTCTTCTAAGGCCACACGTCCCAGGGTCCGAAGAACAGTTGATGAGGCTCTTGCTCTGCCTTGGTGGTCAAGAGTCATCAAGAAATTCCCTACAATTCTCAGAACCTCAGTGAGGTTGCTCAGGCATGGACCTAAGGTACCTTGATGCCATCAGAGGAGCAAGGTCCAGAAACTGCTCTTCCCTCCAGTGTCACAGGGCTGGGGGCGGTAGGCATTTAAAGAGATGGATCTTTTTGATAGAGTGATTTGGGTTCTTCTGGGTACATTCCCAGTAGGGGGACTGTGGGGTCGTATGGAAAGTCGATTTTTAGATCTTTTAGGAATCCTTAAAAGTACAAAGCCTGTGCTAATTTACACACCCACCAGAAGTGTAGAAGTGTTTGTTCCCTTTTCACTGCATCCTCTCCAGCATCTGTTGTTTTTTGAGTTATTGATGATGGTCATCCTGACTGGAGTTAGGTGGTATCTCAGTGTAGTTTTAATTTGCTTTCTTTGATGACTTGTGAGGCTGAGCATTTTTTCATGTATCTGTTGGCTGCCTGTACATCTTCTTTTGAGAACTGTCTATTCATATCTTTTGCCCACTTTGTAATGGGGTTGTTTGTTTTTTTCTTTTCAGCATGTACACATATGTTTATTGCAGGATTGTTCCCAGTAGCAAGAACATGGAACCAACTGTGCTGCCCATCAAAAGAAGGCCGGATTTTAAAAAAACAGTGGTACATATGGACGATGGAATATTATGCAGCCATAAAGAAGAACAAAATCACAAACTTCACAGCAACCTGAATGGACTTAGAGTCTGTAATACTGTGTGATCTATCACAGAAACAAAGAACTGAGTATCACATGTTCTCATTCATAAGCGAACCTTGAACAATTTTCATAATACTATAAGAAAACAATTGGCAGTAGCGGGAGACGGCTGGGAGGGGGGCAGGGAAGCGGATTGGCAGTATTGGCAATCTGCCTAGGGAAGGGAGGCACACCTCATCAACAAGGGTCCTACATAATGAGCATTTGTATATCTAACCCTGAATGGTACCCCACACCTTTAAAATTAAGAAAAATTAAAAGGAGAGAGAAAAAAAAAGAGACAGATCTTGTCCCTCACCACACCCCTACCCATCACATGGAGAAGAGAAGGGCATAAGGCACCAAGGAAGAGGATTCACTCAACCATCACATCCTTACAGCTCAACAACAAGATGCCTGGAAGGCAGAAGCAAGAGCTGCATGCACAAGCCGGTGAGTGGGAGGTGCTGGTGGAATTCGGATCCTCTGGGAGGGATTGTACCTTTCTGACCCATAAAGGAAGAACAGTTTATAGACTCCTTGATAAAAACAGATCATCTCTCTTTTTCTTTTTTCTTTTATTTCTTTTTTTGTTTTTGGAGTCAGGGTCCCACTCTGTCTTGCCCAGGCTCTGATGTGCAGTGGCACAGTCACAGCTCACCATAGCCTCGACTTGCTGGGCTCAGGTGATTTCCTCACCTCAGCTTCCTGAGTAGTTGGAACTATAGGTGTGCACCACCATGTCCAGCTAATTTTTTGATTTTTTTTTTTTTTTGTAGAGATGAAGGCTCACTATGTTGTCCAGGCTGGTCTTGAATTCCTGGCCTCAAGTGATCCTCGCTCCTCGGCCTCTCAAAGTGCTGTAATTATAGGCATGAGCCACTATGCCCTGTGTCTCTCTTTCTTTTACAAAGGGGACCATTACAGTTAAATGTGTGAGAGGAAATAAAAGGTGGATAAGAGGAGATGGAAGTGGGGAGACCAGCTCCCTTCCTCTAGGCTTCTGCGGGCCCTGCTCCCTGAGGTCTGAGTTGAGAAACAAAATCAGGACAACCAAAAGATGGATGGGCTGCGGTTGGAGTGCTGCCCTGGCGTTCCCTCACCCCTGCTTACCGAGGTCCATGCTCTTTGAGGCTTTCAGGTTAATCAATTCAGGCTGCCTGGCCGGTGTCACTGATCTGAAGCTGATGTGCGAGTTTGGAAAATATACCGCCGAGTCTACACCCGAGCTGTGGAAGGAAGCCACACACTGTAGTTAACTTGAGGATAAAATCTTTTTTTTAAAAACGGGGAGGCACTTCTCATCCCTCTCTGTGGCTTCCAACCACAGGTTTTAAAACGATCCGTAAGTCTCAGGTTTCTTTTATAAGATGTATTGTATCACACTGCACCATTTAAATAGAATATTCTCTGGGCAATCTTGTGGGTTACTCTTCACTCTTTTCTGCTAATTGGGATCCTGCTGCACATGCTATAACCTTACGTGGGTATGGAGGGCCTGGGTGGCACTAGCACCTCAGAGGAGTCATCAGGTACTAGCAGAGCCCAGAAAAGTCACGAGACAGCTGCGGGCCAAGCCTACCCTTCCTTTAAAAACAAGTGAAAGGATTGTGTCCTTTTGAGAAAACCATCCTGCTGAATGAGTGATGACTGTAGGAACTGGGTCTTTGTTTAGGACTATTATCTAAAACTAATGTTAATGCTGAGCAAAGAGTGTGCTCATCAATAATGCCAAAAGGATGTAATAGGAAAAGCACAACTGGCAGTTTAGACACAAGAGATATCAAATGCCCAACGTCGAGGACTTGTGATCAGTTTCAAAGAACTTTCTTTCTGCTAAATATTTTCTTTATTTTGCTTGAGGATGGAGAAGATTATACAAAGGAATGACAGACACAGGCTTATTTCTTGGTCTAGAAATAAATTATGCTTCTATACTTTTTTTATTAATTAAATTACAGCCATTTTCTCCCTTGGTACTCTCATCTGCTTAGAAAGTAAACATGGTAGCCATCTTGTCTTAACTGTTGTCCTCAACTCAAACATAGGAAATGCAAATCTAGTATCCTTAGGACATCTGAAAGTACTGAAAAATTGAAGTTGAATTTTTCAAAGAGTTGGAGTTTAATACCATAAGCAATAAAACAACAATAAAAAACAAATATTTTGAATGAGAATCCTTCTAAAATGCACAAGAGGATCTCAACTTTGAAAGTAAATATTCCAAGACAAGTTAAATCTTTTCTTAAAACTCATCAGTCATGCATATCTGATATTGTCTTGCTGCAATGTTAAAATTGATATGTAGCAATAATAATACTGCCCAATAAATAAATGGACCTCCATTACCTAATATAGGGATAGATTATGGAAGTGCCTGTGATAGCCAGCATGGCACAGTGATCAAGAGCAAGGTGCCAGAGCAGGCCTGCCTCATCCTAAGTCCTAAGTCCTGGCTCTGGTACTTACTGGTTGTGTCAACTGGGTGAGTTACTGGCCCTCTCTGTGCTGCAGTTTACTTATAGATAAGATGAGTACAATTAAACTTTTGACCTCATAGCGTTGTTAAGAGCATAGAATGGTTGAAGGCTTGGGAGGTAAGGACGTTAGTGTCCAGCGCAGAGTGAATGCTAGGAAAGTGTTTCATTAAACCCACCTGCTTTTGCTTCCCAAATGATGACCCATTTTGGAATCTTTCCCATTCCCTGTGCTTCTTCTAGAGTCTTTGCTGACTGTTTTTGGCAGACTGGCAAGAGAACCATGACCAGGACCCCTTCTCTCTTCTGTTTAGGAGGGTACTGTGGAAGGATGGCTAGGAGAGTGAACTCTAGAGGGAAATGTCGGGAATCATGGCCTCCGTTTGCTCATTCAAAAAATGGATATGAATACAATTTATAGCATTTTTAAAATATTAAATAAATTAAGGTATGTTAAATCCTGAGAAAAGTGTCTGGCTTGCACTAAGAGCTCAAGCAACCTGAGCTATGATTAATCTTTTTCTTTATTTTTAGGTTAGAGCAGTCTTTGGAGGAGCGCCTGAGGCATTGTCCAGTGCAAAGATTCTACATGTTTTTCATGCAAATTTCTCAAGACGTTTAGATGCTCTTTTAAGAGTTATAAAGCTTTTTTTGGCTTCTTTCCTGGTGTCTGAGTACATTCTCAATACATGAAGCCATTGACATAGAAAGATTATTGGTTATGGTATCTAGCGATGGCAAAATAGACCAATTATGAAAGAAAACCATGGAACCCCTTAGTGCAACTGACAATGACCAGATCTAATAGCACTGCTATCACTTTTTCCACCCATTTTAAAGACAAGCTCTGAGATACAACTGTGAACATGCGCTTTCTACGGAGCCTTGATGTTTTGGAAGTCCTGGCCTTTAAATGTGTTACTCGACCTTTATTTGCACTTAAGTTTTCATCCTTTGATCTCTTGTGATGTAGGGGGTTTAGTGTTGGAAAGATGCATGGCCTTCATGGAATCAAACAGTTTAAGAGATGGAAGGGATTAAAGGTCACCTCATCCTTTAGATAAGACCCTAAGGCTCAAAGAGGAGAACTGGTGGTCCAAGGTCACACAGCTGGCCAGGGGCAAAGCCAGGGCCAGAGCCACAAACTTGGGCTAGAGTGGCAGCCGGCATGGGACACAGGTGCTGCCGGTCCCCAATCCACACAAGTCAAGTCTTTCCCTTTTGGGGGTAGATTTGTCCACTCTCCACGTGGATGACATTTAGCTTAGCTGTTTGTTTTAACAGAGTGGTGAATATTGTGCAATTTTTAAAAAAAGAAAAACAAAAACAATAGTTAATCAAAGCAGTTGCCACACGGCATGATAAAAACCTTCAGGGAGGAGGTTTAGGACCAACATGAATATTCCTCATTAAAACACAGATCACACTGCATTTAAAGTGCTCACTCAAGGCAGGCTATGAAAATCTACCCAACTGAATAACATATTGGTGAATCCAACTCAGTGTCTTAGATGATCTTACCAAACTAGACATCAATCAACAAATTAGGAATAAGAGCTCATATTTCAAAGCTTCCCACTCTTGGGTAGCAAGAATCTTGAATCCCAAATCCCACTTAAAAACTAAGGTGGCAACAACACTTGATGCTGTGCTATCAAATTAGGATCTAGACAAATAAAGTGAATTTTTACACAAATGCTGGGATAGAATCAAGAATGATCAAAGAAGTAAAAAGCTGCTCTGTATATAGGAATGTAATAAATATTCTTATATATATCTAACAATGTTCACTAAATCGATCATACACACACACACACACACACACACACACACGCACACTTATGTGTTACCATTGCTCTGATTGTGACCTAGTGTACACTTTGGAAACCTTCCCTAAAAGGGCTCCTCTTGCTCAAATGATACAAGGACAAACTAAGGCTGGCATGAGACTGACAGGCATGGAGGCGGTGAATGTAACATAAGCCATCTCAGGACCAGAGCCCATGTGAGCACACTGAAGTCATGGCTGAGGGCAGCATGGAATTAGTTCACGTGAAAATATTTTAGACATGTCAGTTAGACTAGTAAAATGGTGTGTATTTTTATGCCATGTATCCAAAGTGTTTGGAGTGAGAGGGTAACACATTAGATATAAAATGACATATTTTAACTAGAAGAGCATCAGCACATGCTCCTTGCGGGAAGGTTGTGGGGAGCTGGCTGTTGATAGCAGGCCAAAGACCTATCTCTGGTCAAGGCCATGTTTTTAGCCATAAACAACCAGGAAATCTACCAAATAGGAACAATCCTCCACGTCAAATTATGCTGCTTAATGAATAAATAATGGTAGTGTGAAACAGATGCCAGTGTTCTGACTATGGTAACTCATCAGGAATGTGAGAGATATGTGAGAGTCAACAGGGAATATCCAGGATAACTGTCTAAGGTGAAAAGTCAGGAAAGGAAGATTCTGAGAAGTGTCATTTAAAAAATGGTGTCTGAAACCTTAGGTATACATGGATGACTTCCTACAGCTGGATGCTAGGAGCAAGAGTAGATGCAGGCATGTGTGTGAAGGGAAGAGACAGAGACAGATGGAAGGGGGCAGAGAGAGAGAGAGGGCAGAAGGGGGAGGGATAAGGAGGAGGAGAGGGAGAGGGAAAGGGAGAAAGAGACGGAGAGACTGGATAGGGAGAGGGAGGAGGAGAGGTGGGGAGAGAGGTAGCAGGGAAAGGAGAGAGAGAATGAGACAGAGAAGGAGAAGGTGGGAGGAGAAGGAAAGAAACAGAGAAGAGAAAAAAGAAACAGACAGAGACAGAGAGAGAAAGAAACAGAGATAGAAAGAAAAGAGAGAAGAGGGAGGGAGGAAGGAAGGAAGAGAGGGAGGGAAGGAAGGAGAGAGAGAATATGAACATGTAGGAAATACATAGATTTTGTCTAAACTGTCAATAATATTCAATATATTCTTCTGCTGTTGATTTGCCTCCACCCTTTCTGAGATCTCACAGTAAAGAAAAAAAATATATATATATATTTATATATATATATATTCTTTATATTTTTTTATTTAGACACATATATTCTAAACTGCTTTCTAATAGTGACTGACTTGATGGTTTCAGTAGACTCAGTGTGTGCAAGCACTGCGTTTGATCAAATGTCTTTTATTTCTCGCACAATAGCAGTTTTCTGTTTTTAAGACTGACTGTACCTCTCAGGCACCCTCTTTCCCTTTGAGAGCCTTCTAGGTGTTTTTTGGAAGGAGGACAGCATCCTTGCTCAGACCTGCTCCCTCCCCATCCTTCCTCCATTCCACATTCACACATCCAGGCCCTGTTGCAACTGGTCACCTAGGCAACATGGGGCAAGACAGTGCAGGTCACAGGATTCCAGGTTTAAGGAGGCTTAAGACTTGCTCCTTCCATCTCAAAAACATCTCTGTCCTTTCCTGTCCACCTTCCCCAACCCAGGCCCTGCTCTTTTCTCACTGGTGGCAAGTCTAACTGGCCTCCTTGTCTACACTGCCTCCCGTCTACCCCATCCTCCCCCTGAAACTGTCCTCTGTAGGCTTGAAGACCTCAGAACTCTCAGGGAGGCTAGTATTCATGAGTTCAATAGACAATGCCCTTCCCATTGACCTTCCCCAGGTTCAACCAGTATCAGCCACATGGATCACACTGTGTAGGCCCCTTCCCAACCTCAACCACCCCATCCTGCCACCTCTCTGCCCAGTGAGTGCTGTTCCCTTCTGTGAACCTTCTTTGACACCTGCAAGCAAAGCCAGTGGCGCCTTTCCGTGGGCTCCCAGCATGGTATGCCTAGGACTTAGAGGCACATCCTATATCTGTAAACCTGTCTCCTCCAAAGGCCACTGCATCTATCCCAGGCAGGGATGCTTTCCAATTCACTAGGGTTTCTTCTACAATGCCTGGCTCAGGGTTCCAGAAATGCTCTTGAGTGGATGAGTGGTGAATAAACAACTTAATAATCAAATACTGCAGAGCAGAAAAGAAGAATAAAGTCTAAGAAATGTCACACCTTTGACTGAAAGGAGATTACTGCTGATGATTGAGATAGCAGTTCCAGGAAAGTGGAGGGAACAAAGACCTTAAACATGGGAACTAGGAGGGAGAGGGTGGAAGGAAAGGGGAGTTGCTGGCTCATGGCATGTTGTGAATATGAGCTTATTACCACTTCCCCACCCCCTCCACAAAATCTCTTTTCTGCAAAGCAGAAAAGAGAAGGGAAGAATTCTGTGGAGACTTTGAGGAAGCCACAAAGGCGGCTGCTGAATCCTAGCAGTTCCATCACAGCAACATCCCAAACCCCCTCTGCCTTCTGAAGGCTCCTCTAAGCCCATCTCCCATCCTCTCTGCTCAGGCCCCTGGTGCCTCTGATGCAGGTCCCCAGAGGGACCCAGGGGATGTCAATGCCCTTCCACTCACCCAGTCTGTGGTATCCACAACAAAACCCGACTTCCATCATGCCTGTGGTCTGCTGACAGCCCACTGTAAGGTTTACTGTCTCCCACATGAAGTCTGTGGACATTGTCCTTATACAAATCAATTGACTTTCCCTCCTCCATGCAGTTCCTTTTGCATCCCCCCTCTCTGAAACACCCTTTCTTCCGGGGCTCCTGGCCATCCACTACCCATGAGCTAAGGTTCAGCCCTAATGACACTTTGACCACAGCACTTTTCCTGAGTCCGTGGTCTGGAGGAATGCCCCTCTGCCTCAGAGGCCAGCACACTTTATTTCTACCCCTGGCAAACATCACTTTGAACCTGTGCTCTAGCTGTCCCAAGTGTCTACCTGCTTCCTGAAGACGGGGCTTGTATCCGATTCATCTTTCACTATCCCAGGAGTTTCGCACACACATATAGGATAAACAGTAAAATAGAACAAATGAAAACTATTTTTAAAATGGAATTTTTTATGCCATCAAACAGTCATGAGGCAGACAATGAAAATAAATGGACAAAATTAAATATGTCCACGTACTCTTTCAAGAAATCTCCAGAGATACTGATCTAGAACATCATTGTGATTGTCAGTCTGGTTTATGACATTGTAGTTTAATAAGATAACTGACTTCAAAACTATCAGAATCAGAGCTAGCTAAGTATAAGTAAGCTTCTCTCTAATCAAGTTAGCTAGACTCTTGTTGGGCTATTTTATTTTTAGCAGATGGTATTAAAAAGCATAATAGGAATGGCACCAGCATTGCCGTGAGAAAAATGAAGAAATTTCACAGGATTATCAAGGGACACCAAATGGAATAAAATACACAGTTTTTAATAGCCATAATAAATACAGAAAATAGCAAAGGGACAATTTAATGATTTTTAAAACTCACCAGAAGTACAAAATCTATGAATTCCACTAGTCAAATAGTATGTATGCTTAGTAAATCTCTCTTTCTCATGCTTGTGTGATTCTAAAAATTATTGATTTTTTAGTTTCTATTACAGAATGTATATAATATTGGGTACTTCTCAATATTTTAGATTATATATGGTGCTGCTTTAATTTTTAGATTCCATTAACTTTCTTGGAACATCTATTTTTAAAATACCTTTAGGGTTTATCAATTACAAATTTTTAAAAACCCACTAAGCTTTATGTTTTCTATGTTTTGTTTTATATTTTCCCATATAACTTTTCTTGGAGCACCACTGCTCTGGTTTTTAAACTTGTGAAGGAAAATCTACCCATTTTCTTAAATATTTCAGTAGTATAAGATGAACCTTTACAAATTCCAGAAAGCAAGATATGAACAGTCTAAGCGATTAGCAATGAGGAGTTTTCACTGGAAAGGAATTATAGCACTATGAGAATTTTACCCCAGAGAGAAAAAGAGTTAAAATCAGCTTCCCAAGTTTTCCCAGAAAAACAGTCACAGGGTACATTGAGGTTACATCATGGCATTGATACCTGTGGCCGTGATCTTCAAGGGCAGGATGTAGTGGTGGAGAAGGTGACACTTCACTCCGGGCCCATCCGTCACCAGGAGGCAGCAGGTCTATCGACAAAGAACCCATGAAGTTGGAGTCAGTGGGGGCAGTGGGAACTGGGGGTGTCTCAGTCTTTCTCTCAGACACACTCTCAACCAACACGTCAACCAGCCTTGGGGCTGAAGGACCCTCATGAGGAGAGAGGCGACTTGTATGAGGAAATCTGAGACTGCTCATTGATGTCTACACTTGAGACTGGCTGGCAACCCCTAGAAACCAGGCCATGCCTCTCAACAACCTCCTCCCCGCAGCAGGAGGCTGACACGTGCCCATGACTCATAGAGCCTGAGGAGTGAGGAATCCTCTCTACGCCTTCTTCACATCTTTGTCAACAAGACTCTACAATGAGTGCTCCGGATTATATGGTGACTTGAGCACTGGCCTTAGGAGCAAAAAATTATTTTACAAAAACCATGAGATATAGTGTATCTATGCATCATCTAGACATGTTGGAGGGGAAAAAACCACTCTCTCTGCATTTGTGCTGCAATGGAAGCACTTGGGCTTGAGACCTTGCTAGAAAGCTGGGGTCTAAAGAGTCCACACTTTTCTTCCCGCCCGAGGCAGATGGCTTGATGCCATTTCTCAGCTTGCTTAGTCCCTAGCTGGCTCCTACCAATGGGACGTGAGAGACCATGATGGTCGCCATTCCCAGGCTCCATGGTTAGAAGAGGGTATGCCTTCTCCACTCTCCTCCTTCCTCTACTACCCCCATAAAGCAAGTGGTCCTGCTGTCCACGGAAGAAGCCTGGGTCCTGTAATCACCACGTGGACCGCAGCCCCATTCTCCTGTTGCTAACCTCACAAAGCAGTGACAGGATAGATAAGCAAACTCCCACTAACTCTATCTACTGACATCTTGGATTTACCTGTTCCTTGGTATTATATGAAGTAATTCATATATAACATTTCTAACATGCTGCTTTTGCTACTATGTGCTACTTCCTGCTTTATCAAGCTACCGTCCATGCATCCATGCTTAGTTCTCACACTAGATCTATTTATTTACTTATTTATTTATTTATCTATCTATTTATTTATTTATTTATTGAGTTGGAGTGTCACTCTGTTGCCCAGGCTGAAATGCAGTAGCACGCTCATGGCCACCCCAGCATCGACCTGCTGGGTGCCAGCGATCCTTTTGCTTCAGCCTTTCAAGTAGCCAGAACTACAGGCACACACTACCATGCCCAGCTCATTTTTGAATTATTGTAGAGGCAAGGTCTCGCCTGGGCTGGTCTTGAACCCACAGGCTCAGGCAATCCACTCGCCTTGGACTTCCAAAGTGCTGGGCCACTGAGCCCAGCCTCTCTCACTAGATTTAGATAACTCCCCTCGTTGTCTTCCTTTCTCCTCTCTCTTCCCTTCTGCGGCCTCTGCTCTGGCTACTTCAAGTTTTATCACAATCATTAACTTTAATGTTTATTGCATTCACATGAGCCATCTGTGCTTTTTATTTTTATTTTTTTAAGTGGTGATAGGTGCAGAGGTATCTTGTTTGTTGATTCTATTCTTGGTACATTTTAAAATAATATGTACAGTCCAAGCTCATTGGCTCAAGTCTGCAATGCCAGCACTTTGGGTGGCAGAGGCAGGAGGATTACTTGAGCCCAGGAGTTCAAGATCAGCCTGGGCAACACAGCGAGACCTTGTCTCGACAAGAAAATAAAAAAAAATTAGCTGGGCATGGTGGTGTCTGCCTATAGTCCCAGCTACTCAGGGACAGAGGAGGAAGGATTTCCTGAGCCCAGGAGGTCGAGACTGCAGTGAGCCATGATCATGCCACTGTACTCTAGCCTGGGCAACAGAGCAAGATCCCAATTCAGGAAAAAAAAGATGCTGTCAGAAATTCTTTTCCCCTGAACCTAAACACTTTTGTTAAGACCTATATTGGTGCAAGAGTCTAGAATTCTTATCTCCTAAAAATAACATTTCTGGATTTCACTGCATATACAAGTCATGGTCTTCCTGATGGTCATTCTAAATGTACACATCCATCTGCCTGTGAATGTTACAGGCCCCTGTAGTCACTGCTTCATCAATGGCCAAGTGGCCCTTCTTTTCTTGATCATCTTTTGCTATTTGTTCTATAGAGCCATCCTGCCAAGGCCACATCAGAAAAAATGGATAAAAGAGACTGTGACTCCAGACAAGGGGTCAGCCAGTTCTGGCCCTGGCCCAACACCAGCTGCTGCCTGGCTTTGTAAATAAAGTTTTATGAACACATGCCCGTTTGTGTACGTATTGCCTATGGCCACTTTTGCTTGACAATGGCAGAGCTGAGCTAAACTGGAGATCCTATAGCCCACAAAGCCTAAGCTATTTACCATCTGGCTCTTTAAGGATAGAGTTTTCTGAGCTCTGCTCTAGGCTGTTCTTGAGAGCAATAATAGTACTGCATCCACCTTTGTGTTCCTGAGTGTGTGTTCTGCACAAGGGGGGTATCCAGTGAACAACAGCCTACTTGGGAAGCAAGATTTGTTCTCGGATCGCCACTCCAGAGGTAGTGCCCTACGTGCCACAGAAGAGTGACACACACTGCTTCCCAGGAGGGCAGCCTGAACATTAGGAACAATGATATTATCATGTGTCTCCTCACAGGACCCTGGGAATATGGAGCCGGGAGGCAGGACACATTTGACATGGGCTAGGGGGTGGAAGGCCTCTCTGGGAAGGTGACAGGGAGCACTCATGCTGGAAGGGGAGGAGCAGCAGGAGGAGGTTTCACCAGGGGAGACAGAGTCCAGAGGGGACAGGCAGCAATACTCAGAGGCAAATTGGGTAGAGGCTGCGAGATGGCCTGGGGTTAGACAGCTCAGAGGGTCTTTGGAACACACAGTGTTGGTGCACGTGGCCACCATTCCACCGTCTCAGAGGACTTCACAGTCAGCTCCTGGGACACAGAGACTCATCCTTATTAACCTCTTGGAAAACCACGTTTACTTCACTCGGGGCATCACCAGACATTCTTCACCATGAATGTGAATTTTCTGGTGTTACAATTTCTACAGACATTAGTTCTAAAAATGTCTTTTCTGTGTAACAGCTTGACAGGAATTAAAAAAAAATCAAATAACCAAGAACTGTGGGTGGTATGTACTATTATTACAAAAATAGATGGAACACAGAATATCAACATTGAATTTTTAAATATACAAAGGAAAGGAAAAAGGGAATAAAAAAAGTTAATGTTTTGGCTGTAATAGTTCCTCTCCTGACTCGACATTATGTTTTGTCAAGTTAATTTTATTTTTCTAAAGAAGGGCCTTACAAAAACTGGCCGTGGTGAGTCAACACTCAGGTTTTATGAGTCTTCAAGGCCTGTTACCACCTTCTGTGGAGTGAAACTCAGGAACTCCCAATGCTTCTCGAAGTGTAAAATGTTACCACTATTGCAAAAAAGGTGACAGTCATGACAGCCTTCTATAGCATTGTGCTTATAAATTGTTATAATTGTTTTGTCTCTAAATCAATCAGCTTATATAAAAAGTAAGGAAATGCCATCTGTTGGTCTCTGACACTCAAAATTTAATGCTTCTTTGTTTCAATAGGCCTAATTCTTGTGATCTAGCATTGTAGCACACATCCACAAAGAAATAATAATAGATTTTCTCTTCTTAAAAAAAATAATGTCACTCCTTAAAAGAAATGGATTTTTTTGTTAACTTGGAAAATCAAGGTGGAGAAGGAAGTGAAATGAAAACCTTGTGGGTAGCTAATGTGTGCGTTCTTTTTTTCAGTGATATAAAAGTGTTCCACCTGGATCTTATCTTAGGAGGAAAAGGACAAAATCTCCCAGTGGTTGTCAGTGACTGCTTGTGCCCAAAGGACTCTATTGTTCAGGAGAGATACGAAGTCTGAACATATACTGAAGTTTCAAATTATATAGTACTTTATTTTTAGCATGTGCTTGGAGTGGATTTTATTATTAAAATTAGTTTTCTGGGTGATCCTTGTACTTTAGTTCTATAGTTTCATTGTTTTAGACTTTACTCTCCTTTGTAGAGATATTACTCCATTTACCTGAGTATCTCAATGTCCTCTAAAAATACACTGTTTATCACCTGAGATTAAAAACATCATGCTTCACTTAACAATGAGGATATGATCTAAGGCATGTATTGTTAGAAAATTGTTTTTCTTTATATCTTTAATCTAGAGCATTTCTCTATTTTAAAAATTTTTCCTTATTTTTTACTTTCTAATTTAGTCCTTGTTGCAACATCATAGTGCATGTTCACAAACCTAGCAGGTGTAGCCTACTACACACCTGGGCTGTGTGGTCTAACTTATTGCTCCTGGACTACACCCCTGCACAGCCTGATCCTGTATTGAATATGAATACTGTAGGCAACTGTAACACAATGGTAAGTATTTGTGTATCTAAACATAAAACAAGTACAGTAAAAATATGGTCTAAAATATATATATATATAAAAAAACCAGTCTACTTGTACAGGGCACTTGTCATGAATGAAGCTTACAGGACTGGAAGTTGCTCTGGTGAGTCAGTTAGTGATGGTGCGTGTGAAGGCCTAGGACATGATGGTGCTCTACTGTGGACTTTATGAACAATGGACACTTAGGCCACACTAAATTCATATGAAATTTTTTCTTCAATAATAAAACAATCTTAGTTTGCTATAACTTTTTTATTTTATAAACGTTTTATTTTTTTTTAACTTTCTGCCTCTTTTACAATACCACTTAGCTTAAAATACAAACACATTGTACAGTTATACAAAAATATTTTTTTCTTTTTCTTTTTATCTAGAGATTTTTTTTCCTATTAAAAAATTTTTTCTTCTTTATATTTTACTTTCTAAATTGTATTGGTTAAAAACTAAGACACGGGCAATCCTCTTGGGTCCCCTCCCACTGTGGGAGTTTTTCTATCCTCTCAATAAATCCTACTTTAAAAAAATAAAAACTAAGACACAAACATAGGCTCAGGATCATCAACATCACTGTCTTCCCCTCCACATTTTGTCCCACTGGACGGTCTTCTGGACGGTCTTCAGAGGCAATGACACACAAGAAGCTGTCACCTCCTACGACAACAGTGCCTTCTTCTGGAATACCACCTGAGGAACATGACTGAGGCTATTTCACAGCTAACTTTTTTTCATAAGTAGAAGGAGCGTGCTCCAAATTATGAGAAAAATATAGTGCAGGAAACACCAGGCAACAGGAATTTTTCAGTTCCATCATGATCTTAAGGGACCACTATCATACATGTAGTCTATCACTGACTAAAATGTCGTTATATGGCACATAACTATTTTATAGGTATTACAAATGAAACAAGATAGGAGATAAGGTGTTTAATGTTCCTTTGGATGTCACTGTTGTAATTAGGTGTTAAATCCTAAGCTTAGATAGTCACTGGACCACATGTTGTTAGAGAATTAAATGCCAATCAAATTGTACAAAGACTTGATATTTTAATACAGATGTCAATGTTTGTAATCATACGATGGGCCTCATAGAAAGAAGGCTGTTCTACTCTATAGAAAACTTGCTGTTCCTTCCAAGATGCTCTTGCTATTGTGACTTAAGGGTTCAGAAGGCAATTGTGCTCTGTCAAGAAAACTTTTAATATCTTTAATATGAGAAAAGACATACTGAGTATTTCTTTCTCTGGATACTGAATCAAGTCAACTTTTAATGAACAGTCTTAGATTGGGTGAAAGGACATCAATAGTTTCATAAGACCCATGTAAGTCAGGGCCCACACTGTGGCTTAGCAGTTGAACTTAAGTCAGAGAGACATCAACTGAATCCACACTCTGCAGGTATCAGGCGTGCGGTCTCGGGTAAATTATTTACTCTCTCTGACTTTCTAGTTCTTCATCTGTAACGTGAAGATAATAATATTACCCACTTTGAGCGTGCATGTAAATTGCTTAACACAGTACCTAACAGACAGTAAACACTTAATAAATGGTAACAGCTGTTGCTACTACCCTGGCTAAAATGTAGGAATTCAGAGGAAAAAAAACAGCATCCCATTCTGATGAGACAATTTAACTCTAGAGCAACATCCTATTTCCAGGTACATTCTGGTGGAGTAATTTCAGAGCTTAGAATTGTTCCCACATAAATTATGGTAACATCTTAAGTGTTCAAAATCTAAGGGACTGATGACATAAAGTGTTATACCTCTATGCCCAGGATACTATGTGATTACTAAATGTGATATTGTAGAATATTCAGTGACAAAGTAAGGTGCTCATAATGTGCATTAATTAAAAAGCAATTCTTAAACATGATGTACAGTATATTTCATTTTATGTATACATATCTGCATGAAAAAAGACTTGAAAGATATACATAAAAATGTTATTGATTAGATCTTTGATAGATGGAAGTATGAGTAATATTAAATTTTCTTTTTATTGCTTTTCTCTAAATTTTATACAATGACTATGCATTGCTTTTGCAATATAAGAAATGAAAGTTAGTAAAGAGGAGAGATACAAGGAGATAAAATAATTTTCTTGGTGACCTGAAATAAAATTTTTGTAAAAGGAGAAAACCTGGATTATTGATGTCTGATGTTGACTAGAAATGTGATCCATACAGTGATAATGAAAGTATGAGCTGGGCTTGGTGGCTCAGCCTGTAATCCCGCACCTTTGGGATTGCCTGAGCCTGCAGGTTCAAGACCCACCTGGGCAACTTGACAAGACCTCGTCTCTACAATAAATCAAAAATCAGTCGGGCGTGGTAGTGTGTGCCTGGAATTCTGGCTACTCGCAAGGCTGAGGCGGAAAGATTGCCGGAGCCCAGCAGGTCGAGGCTGCAGTGGCAGGGAGTGGCCACTGCACTCCAGTCTGAGCGACAGAGTGACACTCCAACTCAAAAAAAAAAAAAAAAGAAAGTATGTGGAGAGGCAATGGTAGGAGCATTCACCATCATGTGGTGGCTTCAAGTGATAGTCACCTGTTTACCACACTCATCTTGGAACCAAGCATACATCTGAATTGTGCTATGGCCATTCTGTGGTTCAATCCAAACCCATATATTGTCTAAGTTTAGAAGCTACTTACACTTCGAAACTTCCAGTATTAAAAAAGCTTGAAAAAGATAACAGTTTGACATCTTGCATTCTCCAGCCATGATTTGTTTTATACATAACCCTCCATGTTTGGGGCAGCAAGCGTGGAAACTGTCGCTCCAGCTGGGGTCTTTGCCAGGAATCTGCCTCGAGAGCTCTGAGTCAGTCCCCCCACCCCGCAGCGCTTAGGACTCATAGCAACAAAGTCTGCACTTAGTCTAATTAACTCCCCTTTGTTCCTTTTTCTTTCTTCTTTTTTTAAATAAAAAGGCACTTCTGCATCTTCTCACTCCATTTGCAGTGGGTGGAACTGGAGAGACTCTTACCTTTCTGTTTGTCTTGTGCGTGAGTGCCAAGCCGATGCAGTGTACCATTATCGTGTCTCCTGGAGGCGGGTTCAGCGTTTTGACAGTTCTCAAAGCCTGGCTTAGAAAATGCCCCACACTCTGCAGTTTCCTAAAGAAAGGAAAATAAAAATTACATTTGCTTTTTAAATACGTTCCAACCTGGCCAAATGAAGCAACACGAAAAAACGATCAGTTGATAAAGAATCTTTCAAGAGTCTATTCGCATAAGTCCTCAACTGTGGGAAATCAAAATGGCCCCATTGGTGAAAGCATCTCTGAGTCTAAAACAAAAAATAAAAAAGTACTGACAATGTGGTGCTAAGGATTAGGAGTGCTGATAGCCAACACAAAGGAGGATTAACTTTATTATTCCTTTCCCCCACTTACAACTGGCTTCTTTCAAATTTCCTTCCATCTGGGAGTACAGCTTGTGGCAGTGTCAACACAAGAATACAGTTCATGCCAAGGGTGTTTCTCTGCCAACCAGCTGGTTCCTCTCCCTCTCTGCGACTAAGTGCATATGCTCTAGGACAAGTCAGAACTCAAGCAAGTTTGCCATTGAAATGCCACGAGTGTGTCCCTCTGCATACATGAGGTCTTTTGGCCAGGAGCTAAACCCAACTGCTGTGACATTGCAGACAGCATTTCTCCGGAGGTTTTTGGGGTTTTTTTTCCCTCTTTTCTTTTTTTCTGTATTTCCTCTCCTATTTTGTTTTTTACAGTCTGCAAACAAATTCACAGTTTCCTTAAAACTGCTATATCCAGAATAACACCCCATAAGCCATCTTCCACAGGTGCTGAAGAGGAACAGGAGGGGTCGACTTGGGAGAGCTCTTGCTATTTTTTTAAGAGGACCACGGCACAGGGAACTGGGGTTTGCTCCTGCTCATATTACTTGTCTCCCTAACAGACTTAGAGGAAGTAAATGATTTGGAAGCCATCTCATGGCTGCTCCCTTGACCATTTGTGAGAAAAACGCACCACAGACAGGAACACAGATCTGATGCCCAAAGCTCTTTCCTTCTGAGGAAACTATTTGACCAAACCAATGCATTTGATTTAGATTTTCCTATTTAGTTGCACAAATTCAGTGTCTATCTAGTTAAACAAAATATTTGAAACACACAATTTATGCATCTTTAATAATTAAACTGCTGTCAGCAGTTGAAAGACTGTCAACTTTCTGTGGAGGCTAGTGACACTCTTCCCACCTGGTGTGCTCCCTTCTCTCAACCTGCTGGCCAAACTGAGCCTGGGATAGGAGGCAGGCTCAGCCTCCACTAAGTGGGAATTCCAGCAGTGGGAGAGGGAAGACTTGCCTTGCACAGACCTGTGCTTTGATTGAACAATAACAACAACAGTTTTTTTTTCTGCTTTCCCAGCTCTTTGATAAATGACACAATCGATATCCAAACAACTGATCGGTTACCAGCCTAATTAAAGTATTCAGCCTGCAAAACAGAGTTGTCGTGGGGACCTCCATTAGTGTCCCAGCCAATAAAAAATATAATGGATTTTTAAACATATTCTGCCTCTCCTACGATGAGCCGGTAGCAGGGAGGGAAATGTTTTGGGGAAGGGAAAAACAAAATCAGGTCATAACCCATTTTTTTTGGTTAATACCACGTCTCTAGTCTCAAATAGAATTACAATTGAACCTCAAGCTCATCCTTGGAAAAATATGTTTCTGTTTAAAATGATTTTGATTCAATCAAGGGCTCATTATGTATTCTTCACGAGGTCCTCATCAAAACTGTTTACATATCTTGTACATCTGGGTAATGTGGGAAAAAACCCCAACAACTATATATTTTGACTTTTCTTAAGTAGCTTCTTCAAATTTTTTAATATCAATATAATGCTCAAGCAACCATTTTGATATTCTTGCCAAATCTGACTAATTGATTTGCCTGAAAGTATCAACAGAGCTGAGACCTTTTTCTAGGTTATGAATGCTTTTCTATTGTACCAGAGGGTGATCGCTGCTCCACAGGAGAATACACCCAAAACATGAGCACGCAACATATGCTCTGACACAGAGAAACTTAGATTTGGGATCCCAAATAGCTGCAACTTTTTTTTTCAATTTAATGGAGATAAGCTGTACATTAGAGTGCAGGAAATCATGCTGTTTAATCTTTATGAGTACCACAGAGAATCTCACGAGCTGAGAGTCAAAGGCCTGCTCGTTCCCCATGGAAAGTGTGTAAATATTAGGGAAACTAAAAATGGTTCTTGTTTAAATGTCCTCATAAAAACTGCTTTTTGCCCCAGTTCTTATTCCTGATCATGTCCCTGGTGATCTATCCATATTAACAAGGTACTTTGGGGGATGGGCAGCCAACTGGAAGTTTAGTTCTTTCTTCTGATGGAATAATGTCAATCCACTCCAGAGTGCAAGAATTAAAATGAAAGTATCTACAGTAAAGGGGAATATGAATGGTCAAGCAGACCAGCTCTATGAGCCAAAATATACAGTACCCACCGGCTAGGAACACACAGATTTTAGAGCAAGATGGGAAATGTGGGAAGATGAGGCATAGGGTCAGAGCTAACTCTTCTAGCTCATTTATTTTCTTTGTGTAACTTTTGCTCATTTATTTTCTTTGTGTAACTTTTGCTGTTGCACAGATATGGCATGCTCTGGCAGTGTCTTCCACACTTTCTCTCAGTTGATGTGTCTTTGTTAAAGAAATCTTTTGGGGAATCTAACAGGCAGAAGGGAAGACTCAGGTGCTCACAGGTCATCCTTCCAACTCTCTCCAATAAGCAAACTCCATGGAGTCCCAGGGCTCTAGAGCAAGAACCAAATTCAAGCAGGCAGGGCCCAGTTGCCCAGGGTAGGAAGCAGCAGATAAGGGTGTCATAGCTATGTGCATAAGGGAAGTCACTAAATATTCATGGAAGACTCTGTCGCTTAAGCAGACGCAGATGTAGAAAACAAGTTCATTCATTATATTTAGTCTCCAGTAATTGGCCAATTTACATTTACTTAACATCTATGAGGTTATGTTATATACAGAAGAGTTTAAAAGGTATGCTTGCAACTTTCTGATAGCCGATAGTATAAGATATAGTTTCTAACTTTACTACTCAAGTTCACTCTCTCAGATGAAATAGGTCTCAGATGCAATGTTATCACCCATCCAACAATATTTATTAAGTGTCTACCGTATGTTGGGAGATGATGATCCATAAAGGGATAAAACACACAATAAGCTGGGTGCAGTGGTTCATGCCTGTAATTCCAGAACTTTGGGAGGTCAAAGTAGGAGTATTGTTTGAGCTTAGGACTTTGAGACCAGCCTGGGAAACACAGCAAGACTTCTCTAGAAAAAATAGAAAAATTAACTAGGTGTGGTGGTGCACACCTATAGTCATAACTACTTGGGAGTCTGAGGCAGAAAGATCTCCTGAGTCCAGCAGGTCAAGACTGTAGTGAGCTGTGATCATGCCACTGCACTCTAGCCTGGGCAACAGAGTAAGACCTTCACTAAAAAATAAACAACAACAACAAAACCCCACATATATACATGCACACAGTACCTGCCATCTAAGAATACTGAGCATGACTTCCTATAAAGTTACACAGCTATGAATGGCAACCCTAGGATTATAACCCAAGCAATTCAACTCCAGAACCCAAGCATTTAACTAGAATGAATCTCACTACTGACCACTCTTGTTTAACTTTTCATTTAAGTTTAAGTTGAACTTATTATTAAACCTAATATTTTATATGAGTGTTTTTAATAGTACTCCATTTTCTCTTTGCATATTATTGTAGTACATAAACATAATTTGGCTTTGGAAAATATCCTGGTATGAAAACATGTGATTTGCTGATGTTTTTCTTAACTTTTAGTACTATTATCTTTTTCTTCTTATCTTTTCTAAAATAATTTTTAGGAACATTTCATAGTTATTCTTCATATATAAAACAAAATGTTTTAGAATATTTTATATGTATTATTTATGTGTAAGTGAAATGTTTAGGAATATTAGCATTCAAGAATATGCTAAGCTTATATTTCATGTGTAAGTAAAAAATATTCCTGACATTTAAAAAAATCCATAAAGATATCATAATAAAGCATTTAAAAAATAAGACTTCCATTTGTTTAATAACATGAGCAAGCAGCTCGCTTAATAAATCAAATTTTAAATTAGTTAAGTCTCAGGTTCATGTTATTTATGTGCAGATTATGGGGAAGAACACAGAAAACTACCTGAATGATAATGACCTTCATGTTAAACACTGTCCACATCTGATAGGTCCTAAGGCACAGACATTGCTGGACTATCAGCTAAAAAGCATGGAAAGTTGTTTACGAGTAAGTACAGAGCTCTTGGAAGTTCTGGGGGGGAAAGCTAGAAAATATGTGCCTGTTCATTTGACAAATGACTTATTCTATAAGCACATGTTTATCCTTTCTCATTACCTAAAATATACAATCACCTGCCCTCCACATAAATCCATCCAGGTCCTCCTGGGCACCCTTCCCCATTGGGAGAACCAGCATGAATCTTGCTTCCACCCTAGCAAGAGAAGTGTGCACATCTTGGTGGCCACTGGACAATCTGTTGAGGAAGTTCAAGATGGCCTCACCTCTGCTGGTCTCTCGGGCCTCCGCAGAATCACCAGCTGGATCATCCCGCGTATGTTTCCTTCCATGGACATCGACCGCCTGAGTGTTTCCATAGCTTCGTGGTTGGACTTTCCCAAAAGTGATTCCCCATTCACAGCAATCAGCTGGTCATTTGTTCGCAGACGGCCATCCTACAGTAGAGGAAAGAAAGCCAGCATTGAATAGAAGACAGCACAGTTATGACGTGTAGCTGTGTCAAAGAAAAGTTCAAGTTCAAAATGAAAAAGAAAAAAATTCAGCTGTTGGGGTGATTTATTTGCCATGGCAGTAAGAGGTTCTGGAGTTTATCAAATGGTCACAAATACCAACGATAATGGATTGTGTGAAAGTATTTTCCAGAAACCTTAGCATCCTGAGCTGTAATCATTTAGACATGTGTCTGATGCCTTTTCCCTAACCCTAGGGCAGGCATGCTCATCCAGCCAATTCCACCACGTGCTCCGGCAGGTGTATTGCTGACTCATGGAAAGGGGTTCTGGAAACGAAAGGAGGTGGTCACAGCTCTTGAAATGAGGGTCTGCATTTCCAGGCACAGAGAGACATCATGCTTAAACTCCATGTGCTCGACAGAAGTGGCATGTCTCCTAGACAGCGTTGCTAGTTTCACTGAACAGTGCTAAAAAAAATCCTCATATAATTTTCTCAATTGGAACCACAAAGCTGAGCCAGGAGGGAGACATTTCCTTTAGTTAAGCCTCTTAAACATACCCCCAATTCTAGTACATTAGCAAACTCAGGCCCCACCATGTGATGCTCTGTGCCACTTCAGGACTCCACAAGGAGTCCCCACAGTAGGAAGGACCTTACCAGATCTGGTCCCACAACTTTAGACTTCTCAGCATTCATAACTGTAAAAAATAAATTCCTTTCCTATATATAAATATAAAATAATTGCAAAGCGACTAGTCTGCTGGTCTGCCGAGGAACAAGGAGGTATTCAAGAAAGGACCCATGTACCCTGATGATTTCTGGCAGAAGAGATTGACAGAGGGAACTATCAAACTTTCCTCAGAGGCTCCAACTGATGAGGACACTGATCCAGCATCTTTAGGATGAAGCACGTCTCATCACAAAGCACAAAGTACCTCATGTGTAGATGGGCAGTCCAGACTCCAATCTCTCTAGGCCCTAGCCGTCTTTGGTCAAGAGTCCCACACAAGCTGAGGTCCATAGCAGCAGCTGACACATAGCTCCCACAGGGAAGTCAGAAGGAAAGATGCTTGAAACCTAGATAGGCAGATTGAGGCGTGGTCTGGATCTGCCCTATACTTGGGTGGATAGCTCTTGCTATGAGGCACAGACACAATTAGGAATGTTATGTGCTGCTGCTAATAACAGTAGGTAGCCAGGCACGGTGGCTTGTGCCTATAATTCCAGCACTTCGGGAGGTCAAGGTGGAAAGACTGCTCAAGCCCAGGAGTTCAGAACAGCCTGAGCAACATAGCAAGACTTCATCTCTACAAAAAAATCAAAAAATTAGCCAGGCGTGGTGGCATATGCCTATGGTATCAGCTACTCAGGAAGCTGAGGCAGAGGATTGCCTGAGTCATAGAGGTAGAGGCTGTGGTGAGCCATGATCATGCCACTGCACTCCAGTCTGGGCAACAGAGCAAGACCTTGTCAAAAAAAAGTAGGTGTATATAACAGTTTATGTTTTCAGAATATTCTTCCTTAAGATATCTCAAGTGATTCTCACAGAACCCAAGAATTTAAGTAGATACACGTTTTCATAAACATTTTACAGAAAAAGAAACTGAGGTAAGGAAATGATGTAACTCGCTCCAGTTCACAAAAACCAGTCAAAGACTTCCATGTATCTTGGCTCTGGGGTTTTTCCACTACAATTCCCTTTGTTATTGGTCTCCAGGCTACAGTTGTGCAACACTAAAATAGGAAAAGTAAAATAGGAAAGTTCTCTTGGTAAGAAGTGTCTGGGACTCGGGGTCAAATAAACAGAATGAAATGCAAAGGAAAAAAGTTTCCTAAGAAATGAGATAAGCAGATACACAATGAACACAAGAAATCACCAGGCAGCTTGGGAGAGAAATCCAGTGAACAGGTTGGTGAACTTAGACCAGTGCCGTAGCAGATCGCAAGAAGAAGTCTCTCTGCTGACAGCAGAGAAGTGAGAGAGTGGTGAGGGCTGCTTACCACTCTCTCACTTGCAAGGGTACCACTCTTTCCTTGTAAGACAAATAATGGGTAATTTCATTTGTGGTAATGCCAGCAAGCACCATGTCGTCCTAACATCTAGAATATCATTACAGAACTTAGAGTTAGAAGGGTCCTCATAAATCATTTCACCCTGGTGAAGGGGTGCTGAACCCACAGGGGCCACCCAGAGGAAGCCATACAAGGAAGAAGATGGCTAGGCGTTGGGACCAAGAGAGAAGGGCATTAAACCAGAGGCACAACGGCTTCTGTGGGCTGCCCCAGAGTTAGGGTCCTCTCCTTCCTGCTGTTTCCCACTTCAGTTGATTTGACCCTAATTTGGAGCAAGTCTGGAAATGAGATTTATAGGAAAGGCCAGACAAGAAGGAAATCTCTTTGTTTCTGTTATTCAGTCGTGAGTGGGCCACATAGAGGAGTAAGATGAGGATGGCATACAATGGCATAAAACAAAAGCAAGCTTCACTCATTTGTCTTGGGAGTGGGATGCCATTGGACAGATGACCTTGTTCTCTTTGGTCATATAATGATGGGAGGAGAACTGCTGGACTGAATCTTGTTGCTAGAAGTCCTCATGGGAGGATCAGAGAGTGAGGTGTGGTTTTTAAAAAGGAGGAGGAAGCAGGAATTAGATTGAGGTCCTAGTGCTGGTGACAGGGGTGAGTCCTGGTGCTTGGATGCACAGTACTTGCCTCAGCAGGATGCCTCCTCCATTGAGGAAGAAGGAAGATAAAAACTGAAACACTCTGGGCACCTGGAGCTGGGGGGCATGAAATCTGAGTGAGATTCCACCTAGTGACCCCTTCTGAACCTTGTCCGTGGAGCACAAGGCAAGGTCAGAGGGAAGAAGCAGACCACAGATGAAGAGATCAGAAAAGAATGTTGCTCTATAAAATCTCTTAGCAGCCGTTAGCCACCAACTTTTATTTTCAGCTACACTGGAAATCTCAAGCATGCAGAATTCCATTGAAGTGGGGCAAGTTTACTGTAACCAAGTCCCAAACAAAAGGACAGGCCAGGTCACAGCAGGGCAGCTAGAATTTCTTCTCCAAGACATTCACATTCATCACAAGCCTCACCAGAGAGTTGTGGGAGTGATAAAAACCCACACACCCCAATCTCATGTGGCTTGGCTGGTCTGTCGCTATTGCTGTGTGCTCTTTCCTTGTAAGACAAATGATGGGTAATTTCATTTGTGGTGATGCCAGCAAGCACCATGTCGTCCTAACATCTAGAATATCATTACAGAACTTAGAGCTAGAAGGGTCCTCAAAGGTCATCTCACCCAGGCCCCTCCGCTTACAGATGAGTAATGTTTACAGACGCCCATTGAGGGGAAGAAGCCATTTATGGAACACCTGCTAAGAGAAGACACTGCCATGTATATTAGGACTTGCCTGACTAGCGAAGGTCAGAAGTGGGTCAGAACAGACATGTCCTGAATTATATGGCATCCCTTGGTCATGCCATCATTCTGTCTTCTACACAGATGACGATAACTAGTTCCTAAGGGGGTGATGCTTCAGGAAAAAAGACTCAAAACCAGAGGACAGTGTGCCACTGGCTATCCCCTGGAAGAGCACACTCTGAGACCCAGACACACGATAGAGGATATAGAGACAGGAAACTGCAGGAGGCTGGCTAAGCAGGGTGGAGGAGAAAGGAAAAGCTTTCCATCTACACAGCCACCCACCCATGTATGCATATCCACATATCTACCCATGACCTCAAATAAAGTCAGCTCAATGAAGAGTTCATTACTCAAACTCATCAAATAGCTCTCAAAGCTGTATATGTCTTTTTTGCTTTGGAATAATTAAAAACCAAGAAATTTGGGATTTTATGTGTTTTAAAAAATTAATATTATGTTCAAGTAAATACTTAGGTATGAGAATATTAGCTGTCAATTGACTTTACATGACTGAATTCAACTACCCAAGGATGTTACCTGGTGATTCTAGGACATTTATTTCATTACAATCTAGGTCACGTTCACATTTGTCACAGAAAGAAAAAAATTCCTTTCCTTCCTATCTTACTCCCATTAGTACCTTAAGGAAAAAGACCTCAATGATGCCCTTTCCAACTCTGGCACAGCCATAACCATCCTCGAGCTAGCAAGGAGTAAAGAAAATTCCCAGAGAGAAGGAAAAATATTAAAAAGAGAAAGGAGAACAGAGGAAAGACAAAAAATAACTTCCTCAGGGCACTTTAGGACAAACAAAAACTGGTAGGAGGCTAAGTCTCTGAGTCCCAGCCTGACTCCAAGCCTCACAAGCCCTACCTGGTTATATTGCAGTGGGACACACTGTGGACTAGAAGACAAGATCTTTGAGTATCACATTTCTCTTTTCCTGAGCACCTAACAGAGGCTAGTCTTTGCAAATCTTCTGTGTATTTTATTTATTCCTCTCTACAACCATCTTGTGACATAAATATTATTCGCTACTATTTAAGAGATGTAGCCAGCATGGTGGCCCATGTCTGTAATCCCAGCACTCTGGGAGGCCTGGTGAGAGAATTGCTTGAGGACAGGAGTTCAAGACCAGCCTGAACAACATAGTGAGACCTTGTCACTACAAAATATCAAAAAATTAGCTTGGTGTGGTGGTGAGCATCTACAGTCCAGCACTTTGGGAAGCCGAGGCAGAAGGATCACTGAGCCCAGGAGCTCAAGACCAGCCTGGGCAATGCAAACTCTACAAAAAATTAAAACAAAAACAAAAACAAAAACAAAACAGGCATGGTGGTACATTCCTGTAGTCCCAGCTACTAGGGAGGCTGAGGCGGAAAGATCACCCAAAGCCCAGGAGTTGAGGCTGTGGTGAGCCATGATCATGCCATTACACTCCAGTCTGGGCAACAAAGTGAGACACTGATTCAAAAATAAATAAACAAATAAAAAAGAGACGTAAGGATGGAGACTCAGAAATGAGGTGACTTGTCAAAGGTACAGGAATGG